GGCTGCATTCCTGCAGCCATTGAGAAATACTGTGAGAGCTGTGATTGATCACAGCTTGTCACATGGTACAAGGCTGTTGTGAATAGCCCTGTACCATGTGATCTTTGTGATCATTCACACATTTCACACGTAGTAAGCAATGATGATAGAAGTGACATCTTGCTTACTATTTTTTATGTGATCACTGATTGGCCAATCAGTGATCACATGATCGGGACCTCACACAGAGGTCCCGTACAACGATCCCAGGGAGCACACACAGTCCAAAATGGTGGGAGCGCCGTTTATGAACAGCAATCCCTCCTGCACTGCCCCACACGGCCGTTTATATACATGGGCCTGGACGGGAAGTGGTTAAAGGAGGACTGTACTGAGAAAAATACGGGGACTGCTACTACTGACCACCATATGCTGCTGGACTGGATGCATGATCGGATGCTGGACCGGATGCTGGATCGAATGCTGGATTGGATGCTGGACCGGATGCTGGACCGGATGCTGGACCGGATGCTGGACCGGATGCTGGATCGGATGCTGGACCGGGTGCTGGACCGGATGTCCTAATATTTCTAGTTGATAACTTGACACGTTTTTGCAGATCTTCCTGAAGGCTGCTGATCACATGTCCAGGAGGACTCACCACTTCATGTCCAATATTGATATGATGGAGAACTCGGATTCTGTATATAAAGTACAAACCAGGATTTAGGATCCCTGTCTACACAGCTGACCATCTAAAATGTCCCGCACTGACGTTCCCTGCAAGAGCACCTAACTGGAGAAATGCTGTACAACAGGGGTCTCCAAACTGCGGCCCATGGGCCGAATGTGGCCCTTTGATTGTCTTTATCTGCCCTTAGGGCACTATTCCTCCCACTGATACCAATGATGGGACACTATTCCTCCCACTGATACCAATGATGGGGCACTATTTCTGCCACTGACACTAATGATAGGGCAATATTCCTCCCACTGACACCAATGATGGGGCATTATTCATCCTACTGATACCAATGATGAGGCACTATTCCTCCCACTGACACCAATGATGGGGCACTATTCATCCTACTGATACCAATGATGGGGCACTATTCCTCCCACTGACACCAATGATGGGGCACTATTCATTCTACTGATACCAATGATGGGGCACTATTCCTCCCACTGATACCAATGATGGGGCATTATTCCTCCCACTGACACCAATGATGGGGCACTATTCCTCCCACACTGACACCAATGATGGGGCACTATTCCTCCCACTGACACCAATGATGGGGCACTATTCCTCCCACTGACACCAATGATGGGGCACTATTCCTCCCACTGACACCAATGATGGGGCACTATTTCCTCCCACTGATACCAATGACACCAATGGGGCACTATTCCTCCCACTAATACCAATGATGGGGCACTAGTCCTCCCACTGACACCAATGATGGGGCACTATTCCTCCCACTGACACCAATGATGGGGCACTATTCCTCCCACTGACACCAATGATGGAGCACTATTCCTCCCCCTGACACCAATGATGGGGCACTATTCCTCCCACTGATACCAATGATGGAGCCCTTTCTTTTAATGGAAACTGACTGAACACAAAATAATTGTCCAAAATGACACCACACCGCTGTATATGGCACAGACATTTGGGTTGGAATTGCACTTACATTGAATTTGGCTTCAAAACAGTCAATAGAGCAGATCATGAGAAAAATAAACTCCTGACTGGGTGCAGATATTTGTCCAACTGGAGGCTGGAACTTCAACTTCTTTGTCTTCTAATATATAAGCCGACCCCGTTCTTCGTTGGGTATACCTTCACTGAAGTATTCCAGCTGTCTACATTCTCAGCACCAACTGAACCCCCGGTGAGTATCTACTGGAGTATCATTATCTTATTATTACTCCGAATTTCATTTTTATATTTTATTTAATTTTATATTTTATTTCATTTTTTTATTTTTTATTTCATTTTTTATTTTTATTTCATTTTATATTTTATTTCATTTTTATTTTATTTCATTTTTATTTTTTATATTGAAAAAGAAACCAGTTTTCAGGATAAATTTCAGGATAAATAACTCTTTACAATATATTATATTATATTATATTTACAATATATTTGCCTATGCTAACATATTTTAACATGTATTCTAAAAAAATTTTAATTTAAAATATATTTTCTAAAGGCAGATATATTTAAAAAATATATTTTTTAAAAATATTTTCTTCAGATTTTTTTTAACATATAAAACAGTCATTTTAACATATTATTTTTACATGGATTCGCAAATGCATTCCAAAAATGTAGATTAAATGTATTTTCTAAGACTTATATTTGAAAATGTATTTGTAAAAATATTTTTCATATATATTTTAATATATAAAAATTGCATTTCAACATATGGTATATATATATATATATATATATATATATATATACATACACACATTGAAATATATTTTCAATGGACTGGATGTCGCTACATTTCCTCAAGCTCAACCTCTCCAAAACCGAGCTCCTCATCTTTTCCCCTGCCAACACCCCCCCCCCCATCCTATGCATCATCACCAACAACTCCACTATCACTCCCGCCCCGCAAGCCAAAGTCCTTGGCGTCATTCTTGACGCGAACCTCTCCCTCCAACCGCATGTCAAATCACTCACAAACACATGCAGGCTCCATCTTCGCAACATTGCCAAGATACGCTCCTTCCTACACCCAGACACCACCAAACTTCTAGTACACTCCCTCATCATCTCACGCCTTGACTACTGCAACTCCCTCCTCACTGGCCTACCCAAGTGCAGGCTCTCCCCGCTCCAGACCATCCTGAACTCAGCTGCCAGACTCATCCACCTCACCACCCGCTCCACCTCTGCCACCCCCCTCTGCCTCTCCCTCCACTGGCTCCCGATTGCCCAACGCATCAAATTTAAACTCCTAACCCTGACCTACAAAGCCGTTCACAACACTGCCCCTGACTACCTCACCAACCTGATCACCAAGTACCACCCTACCCGTACCCTTCGCTCCTCACAGGACCTCCTTCTATCCTGCTCCCTGGTCTCCTCCTCCCATGCACGACTGCAGGACTTCTCCAGGTCCTCCCCCATCCTCTGGAACTCAGTGCCCCAATCCATCAGACTGTCGCCTTCCCTATTCACATTCAGGCGCTCCCTCAAAACCCATCTCTTCAGGGAAGCCTACCCCACCCTCACCTAACGGCCATCCTCCCTCATTCCTCCTACCACTTCATCCCCCTCAGCCACTTCCTACTGTACCTTTATCCCCTCCCTCCTAGATTGTAAGCTCGTAAGAGTAGGGCCCTCTTACCCTCGTACGTTGTTTGTTGTTGTTGTTGTACTGTGCCATGTATTGTCCCCCCTATTGTACAGCGCTGAGCAAACCCTTTGGCGCTATATAAACTCGTAGTAATAATAATAAATAATATTTTTGAAATATATTGAATATGGCCAAAATTGCAGTATTTCAAATATATTTATAAATATATTTGAGAAGAATGTTTTTAAAATATATTTTTCTTCCACGTGGGGTGCTACCCGTATGGAAGAGAAATATATTTCTAATATATTTAGAAAAAAAATTATACATGCGACATATATTTACAATATATTGGCCTACACAAATATATTTTAACATGAGGGTTAGGGACTGATGTGAGTTTATTTAAAAATATATTACAATATATATATATATATATATATATATATATATATATATATATATATTCATTATTTTTTTTATATATTAAAAAAAGTATGAAAAATATTTTAAAAAGTACATTTTCATATATATGTCTTTGAAAAATACATTTAATCTACATTTTTGGAATGCATTTACAAGTACTGTATTTTTCGCTCCATAAGACGCACCTAGGTTTTAGAGGAGAAAAACAAGAAAAAAAAATATTCTGAACCAATGGACTGCAGACATAGTACAGGAAATGACCAGAGACTGTGGACACAGTACGGGAGATGACCAGAGACTGCGAACATAGTACAGGAGATGACCAGAGACTGCGGACATAGTACAGATGACCAAAGACTGCGGACACAGTACAGGAGATGACCAGAGACTGCGGACACAGTACAGGAGATGACCAGAGACTGCGGACACAGTACAGAAGATGACCAGAGACTGCAGACACAGTACAGGGGATGACCAGAGACTGCGGACAGTACAGGAGATTGACCAGAGACTGCGGACATAGTACAAGAGATGACCAGAGACTGCGGGCATAGTACAGGAGATGACCAGAGACTGCGGACATAGTACAGATGACCAAAGACTGCGGACACAGTACAGGAGATGACCAGAGACTGCGGACACAGTACAGGGGATGACCAGAGACTGCGGACACAGTACAGTAGATGATCAGAGACTGCAGACACAGTACAGTAGATGACCAGAGACTGCAGACACAGTACAGGAGATGACCAGAGACTGCGGAAAGTACAGGAGATGACCAGAGACTGCAGACAGTACAGGGGATGACCAGAGACTGCGGACAGTACAGGGGATGACCAAAGGCTGTGGACACAGTACAGGAGATGACCAGAGACTGCAGACAGTACAGGAGATGACCAGAGACTGCGGACAGTACAGGGGATGACCAGAGACTGCGGACACAGTACAGGAGATGACCAGAGACTTCAGACAGTACAGGAGATGACCAGAGACTGCAGACAGTACAGGGATGACCAGAGACTGCGGACACAGTACAGGGGATGACCAGAGACTGCGGACACAGTACAGGAGATGACCAGAGACTTCAGACAGTACAGGAGATGACCAGAGACTGCAGACAGTACAGGAGATGACCAGAGACTGCAGACATAGTACAGGAGATGACCAGAGACTGTGGACACAGTACAGGGGATGACCAGAGCCTGCAAACACAGTACAGTAGATGACCAGAGACTGCGGACACAGTACAGGAGATGACCAGAGACTGCGGACACAGTACAGGAGATGACCAGAGACTGCGGACACAGTACAAGGGTTGACCAGAGACTGCGGATACAGTACAGGGGAAGAACAGACTGCAGACAGTACAGAAGATGACCAGAGACTGCGGACAGTACAGGGGATGACCAGAGGCTGCGGACACAGTACAGGAGATGCCTAGAGACTGCGGACAGTACAGGAGATGATCAGAGACTACGGACAGTACAGGGGATGACCAGAGACTGCGGACACAGTACAGGAGATGACCAGAGACTGCGAACACAGTACAGGAGATGACCAGAGACTGCGTACAGTACAGGCGATGACCGGAGACTGCAGACAGTACAGGAGATGACCGGAGACTGCAGACAGTACAGAAGATGACCAGAGACTGCGGACAGTACAGGAGATGACCAGAGACTGCGGACAGTACAGGGGATGACCAGAGACTGCGGACAGTACAGGGGATGACCAGAGACTGCGGACAGTACAGGGGATGACCAGAGACTGCGGACCTTTGGGAGAGGGAGGGTACCTGAATTTGACAGGTACCTGCTCCCACTTCCACAGAGTTGTCCTCCCTTTAGTGTGGGCACCCGGTTGTGCCAGGTGTCCACTGCGCATGCGCGAGAAGCGCTGCACTTTGTGAATGGCCCAGCGTCTTCTGGGACTTGTTATGTGTTTCCCAGAAGACGCCTGGACCATTCACAAAGTGCAGCGCTTCTCTCGCATGCGCAGTGGGCACCCGGCTGTCACAGATGCCGGTGCGTGAACACTGTACAGACGCTGGACCGAGGAACAGGTAAGGTAGGTTTGTAGCAGAGAACAGCTGAGCAGCCGGCCCAGTATTCTGATACGGTGGCGGCGGAAATACCGGACCGGCCGCTTTATATTCGCTTTATAAGACGCAAAGACATTTCCCCCCCTTTTTTTTTTTTGGGGAAAAAAGTGCATCTTATGGAGCGAAAAATACGGTATATGTAAAAATATATGTTAACCGCTTCCCGACTGCCCTATAGCAGAAATACCGCTACAGGATGGCACGGGTGCACAAAATCACATATATGTACGTGATTTGCATTTTCCGGGGAGAGGAAGCACCTACCTGCGCCGCCATGGCTGTCAATTTCGCTTCTGAGAATCTCTGATGGGGAGAACTGTTTTGTTCACTAACAATCTTCCTCCCTGTCAGCTCGGGCACACTGCACAGCACAGCCATCCAGAGCAGTGTGATTACAGTGAAGAACACACACACTGCCCCGCCCCCGAGTAAAACACTCCCAGCACACAGTTAACCTTTTGATCGCCCCTCATGTTAACCCCTTCCTGCCGAGTGCCATTAGTACAGTGTTAGTGTTTTTATTAGCACTGATCACTGTATTGGTGTCACTGGGAATGTCAGTGGCCGTTAGTCAGTTCCCCCCAGTGGCAGAATGTCCACCGCAGTCCCGCTATAAGTCGCTGATCGCCGCCATTACTAGTAGAAAAAAAATCCCAGTATCTATACAGCCATTTGTAAACGCTATAGCTTTCACGTAAACCAATTAATTTACACGTATTGGGATTTTTTTCTAGCAAAGACATGAATCAGAATACATTTGGGCCTAAATTTATGACGGACTTTGATTTTTCAAAACTTTTTACTGGATATGTTTAATAGCAAAAAGTCAAAACTATCGTTTTTTTTTTCTCTAAATTGTCGGCCTATTTTTTTTTTCTAGTGCCAAAAAATTAAAACCGCACAGGCGATCAAGTACCACCAAAAGAAAACTTCATTTTTTGGAAAAAAAACTACGTAAAATTTCATTTGGGTGCAACGTTGCATGACCGCACAATTGTCAGTTAAAGTAACGCAGTACCATATCGCAAAATATGGCCTGGTCAGGAAGGGGGGGGGGGGGGGGGGGGGAGCCCTCTGGAGGGCAAGTGGTTACCCACATGGAAGCAAAAATATATTTTTAAAGATATTCTTCCCAAATATGTTGACATATATTTGAAATAGTACAATTTTGACCATATTCAATATGTATATATACATACATACAGTTACATATACTCTGTATGTTGAAATGTGTGTTTTTAAAAACATTTTCAAATATAGGTCTTTGAAAATACATTTAATCTACATTTTGGGAATGCATTTACAAATATATGTAAAAATATGTTAAAATTACTTTTTTAATGTTAAACAAAATCTGAAGAATATATTTTAAACATATACATATTTTTAAAAAATATATGCCTTTAGAAAATATATTTTAAATTTACAATTTTTAGAATACATGTTAAAATATATTAATGTAGGCCAATATATTGTAAATATATGTAACATATATATATATTTTTTCTAAATATATTGGAAATATATTTCTCTTCCATGTGGGTAAGATTGCCCACCCCTGGTTTAGAGCAAACAAACATTGGACCTTTTATTGTATTGGAGCCATTTTATGTGTGTCTAACACTAGGGGGCCTCGTGTTATTTGAGTCATAGTTTCACATTTTGTCTTCTTTTTCTTCGCATGAATCTAAATGATCCAGAGAGCTCAAAGATGCTCACCTTGAAGAAATGCCTGTTACTCCTCTTCTTTCTTGGGACCATCAACTTATCTCTCTGTGAGCAAGAGTAAGTATGTAGAAGACTGTTACAATAATACTACAGACTTTTAAAGGTTCTAAAGTCAAAGTGACCCTGTAAGGGATTTCCGGCAAGACGAATCGTGACCAGAAATACGCGATCGCACACACGCACGGCGAAGATTGGCACCAGACGGCCTATTTAAGGAGTGTCTCTGCTCATGTTCAGTGCTGACTGGTCTTCAGCTCCCCCGTGTTTTGCTGGTTCCTGTATGATTCCTCCGTTGCTGACCCATGCTTGTTCCTCACCTGACTCTGATTGCTCTCCTGGTACTGGTTCCTGACTTCGCCTCTGCTCCTGACCTTGGCTTTTCCTTCTGATTCTGTACCGTGCTGCCCGACTGTTGATGACCCTGGCTATTCCATGACATTGCTCCTGTCTCTTCTCACTACCTGCCTTGCTCTTGTGCACGCATGGCAATCTGCAAAACCTGCTCTGCCTACTACTACTGTGCCAAGATCAGAGAATCATCAGCCTTCCAAGGTTTTCATCAGCAAGAGCTGCAAACAACAACTACTGGCACTCTTGTTCCCCTAGGTCCTAGACTCCCTCTGTTCCTACTCCAGCAGGGTCAGGACTAGTGACACAAGTGAGGCCGACCTCATCATTTTAGTCTCCCATCAGGTACATGACAGACCCATATGGAAGAAAAATATATTTGAAATATATTTTAAAAAATATTCTTCCCAAATATATTGCTATATATTTGAAATGCTATGTTGAAATGCGTTTTTATTACAAAATATCTGAAAATATTCTTAAAAATACATTTCAAATATACTGTATGTTTTTAAAAATACAAATCTACATTTTTGTAATGCATTTACAAATATATATAAAAATTATGTTAAAATTACTTTTTTATGTGTTAAAAAAAAATCTGAAGAATATGTTTAAAAAAATATATTTTAAAAATAAATTTAACATATAAAAAAGTAATTTTAAGATATATTTTTCCATATATTTTATAAATTTGCTAGTCATTCTAAGATTCCCTTCCCCCCAGACTGACAATGCTGGTGTCTCTGGTGTCTCTGGTTGTCCTTAATCCATTCAAATACAGGAGGTGAGTTACTGTCTTAAAAAAGGTGAAAACAGAAGGAAAGAAAACTAATGCAGCCACCACATCTAATGATCGGTATTACAGTTATGGTTTTGAGTATATTACCACTTTAAGAGTGCCTATTCAGCTAAGAAGTCCATCAGTTTCATCTGAAATATTTCTTCTCGGAAGTGCCATTGGGCAAGTCCACCATATGTGGAGAAAAGTTTCTAGTAAAGTAAAGATATCTTGAAATCCCCTCTACATGCTTAATTTTAAGCTGTATACACTGGAAAAATGTCCATAGAAGATTTTCAATTTTAGAGGGTTGGTTTGATTTCTGAATTATTAGTGGGGTTATATCGATGATTGTTTTTGACCTTAATTGGATTTCCAATTTTGGAAGGTTGGTTTGATTTCCTAATGGTTAGTGGAGTTTATATCGATGATTGTTTTTGACAGTAATTGGATTTCCAATTTTAGAAGGTTGGTTTGATTTCCTAATGGTTAGTGGGGTTATATCGATGATTGTTTTTTGACCGTAATTGGATTTCCAATATTAGAAGGTTGGTTTGATTCCCTAAAGGTTAGTAGGATTATCGATGATTGTTTTTGACCGTAATTGGATTTCCAATTTCAGAAGGTTGGTTTGACTTCCTTATGGTTAGAGGGGTTATATCGATGATTGTTTTTGACCGTAATTGGATTTCCAATTTTAGAAGGTTGGTTTGATTTCCTAATGGTTAGTGGGGTTATATCGATGATTGTTTTTGACTGTAATTGGATTTCAAATTTTAGAAGGTTGGTTTGATTTCCTAAAGGTTAGTGGGGTTATATTGATGATTGTTTTTGACCATAATTGGATTTCCAATTTCAGAAGTTTGGTTTGATTTCCTAATGGTTAGTGGGGTTATATCGATGATTGTTTTTGAACCGTAATTGGATTTCCAATATTAGAAGGTTGGTTCGATTTTCTAAAGGTTAGTGGGGTTATATCGATTGTTTTTGACCGTAATTGGATTTCCAATTTTAGAAGGTTGGTTTCGATTTCCTAAAGGTTAGGGGGGTTATATCGATGATTGTTTTTGACCGTAATTGGATTTCCAATATTAGAAGGTTGATTCGATTTCTTACAGGTTAGTGGGGTTATATCGATGATTGTTTTTGACTGTAATTGGATTTCCAATTTCAGAAGGTTGGTTTGATTTCCTAAAGGTTAGTGGGGTTATATCGATTGTTTTTGACCGTAATTGGATTTCTAATTTTAGAAGGTTGGTTTGATTTGCTAATGGTTAGTGGGTGTCAGCAGTCACGGTGGCGCACAGGTCTGCGCATGCGCAGAACGACAATGCGCTCTAATCAGCAGGTGCAAGGAACTAGGCAGCTGCAGCAGCGGCCGCGCATGCGCACTCACAATCGCGGACGCGCGCCTGGCACCAATGACAAAGTAGGGCGCACTATTTAAACCAGCCCTGCACAGATACTAGCTGCCATATGGTCTTATTACCCTGTTCCTGCTCGTGTGCTCCTGCTGATTGATTTGTTGCCGACCCTGCTTGATCCTGACCTGTGCTGACTATCTCCTGCTCTGAACCCTGGCTTGTTTGAGTTAGCCAGAGTGGGCCTACCTGACTCCCTAGAAAATCTCATCACTCTGGCCATCCAGATCGACCACAGACTGCGGGAACGCAGACTAGAGAGGTCCAGCCAGGTTCAGAGACCAACATGGGTACTCCCTCGTGCTCCAGTCCAGTACTCACCAGGTGGAAACCGGAACTCAGAAAATGATGACGTACCTGAACCCATGCAGTTAGGATTGGCACGACCATCATTGTCGTTCGAGGAACGCCAGAGACGACGGGTTAACAACCTCTGTCTCTACTGCGGAGAAGTAGGTCATGTGGTAAGTTCTTGCCCGGCAAAACTGAGTAAGTGTGCTTCTGTTTTTTTCTACTGTGTCCCCCAACTGTTCTAATAATTCAAACTACTTAGCCTGTTTCTTTCCAGCTCCCAG